CACACACACACACACACACACACACACACACACACACACACACACACACACACACACACAGATTCCTATCAAATGTGACAAAGGCTTACCGAGTACAAATACTCGCTTATTATTCAAAACCTCATCAGATGAGCGTTTTTATCAAGGTAAAAAATTAGTATGCGCCGCACACGATAGCATGATCCTCTCTTATTAAGTCAAACTAGATGGAAAGATAATATTTCAAATCGCACGAAGAATATTTTCATTCTTATAGCTAAACACAAGCTCTGATAAAAACACCACCCAAAGTGATCAAAGTATTGTATTGTTTCGATCCGTGTGCTTTTTGGTTTTTCAATTTTCATTTTAAAAACGAAAATGAAAAATGAAAGGTTATTATTATTTTATTTTTTTCCATTTTGAATACAGGTATTGAAAATGTATTGTTTTTTCTCTTTTAATTTTGTACTCTTTGTTTTTCCTCAAACCAGAAGTTTATCACTGACGTTAGCGGACCATTTAAGGTGGAGCTTGTTACTGTATTTATTCATGTATAACACGATCTCGTGTATAATATGACCCCCTGCCCGTTTTTGAGCTTCACAAAACTTAAAAATTAAATCCTCAAACTACCTCCAATTTCATACAGACTTCAAGATTTTTCAGCCTTTGCAGTCTTTATACATATCAGTAAAATGATCATTGGACTGTTCATTTTATTTTAACAACATATGTACTAAAAGGTATTTTGACAACAAATATATATCAGCTGTAGTAGCATCATATGAATTCTGGCATTTTACACATAGTACACCAGGAGGCGCCAACACAAAAGTCAGAGACTTCACATGAGATTTGGTCCATCTTGTGGGGGAAAAGCAGATTACTTCCTACCCGTGAGCGCCCCCTTTGGTAGGGAAACTTTTTTTCAGGGATACAAACTTTTTCAGAACACCGGTAGACGGCAGCCATTACAGATGAGAACATGTGTTTGTTGTTGTTCGAGGAGCGGCCCTGTCACACGCTAATGTCATTAGTTCGTTATCATTATTAAGGTGCAGGACTGCCCCCCTTTTTTTTCACATCATGTTGCCTGCCTGGATCTGTTATTATCTCGCTCTGAAGCACGAAGGAGTGTAATTTGCTCGCTTCAACTGCTTTTTACGACATGGTCTTATTTCCAGACTCAGGCATTTTGTGAATGAAGCCGATATTTCAGTTRAAATACATAAGTAAAAATATTTATCTGAGTATAGTACTACACCCCAACTTTATGGATGATTTTATGGATTTAATTTTACGTATTATACTTGAATAAATACGGTAATTAACTGCAGACTGTATTTTTATTACTATAGCTCGTCTAGATAATTTCTTTGAAAATAAAAGACCAAAATTATTTATCTAGCTTCTCTAAAAATGTGTATTACTGGGATGAATGAACACACTTTACTTTAGAACTAGCTAATAAGGCAGCCGCGATAAGTAAACAGTAGCGAACTGCAGTAGTTTGACATTTCTTAACCAGGTGTCAGCTGATAGTGATTCAAACTACTTCCTGGAGCTTCTGGTGCTTTTAGAATATTAAGCCTTTCTACAACAGGTCTGTGGTTGAGGAACTTGAAGCCATATTCTATTGCCTATCGTGTTTGATAATGGCGGGGGAAAACAATGCATTATGGATTACAACAGCACGACGGCTCAATCAAAGTCACCTGCAGGCTGGATGTGGCCCGCAGGCCACCAGTTGAATTGCCCTGCCCATGATCATTTTATTGCATCATACTGTAAAATATATTTTACAGTATTTTATCATGTTGTGTAGCTTTGTATTATATTGTATCATTATGTACGGCCTTGCTTTACATTGCATTAAATCATAGTGTAACATAACCCAAAGGGCAGCAGGAGGGTTATGTCATATCAGTATGTATCGACTGCTCAGGTAGTAATTTGTAAAACGTCTTTTCAGAAGGTGATTTTGCTCAAAAGTACAAAAAAGCCCGGCGCAATTGATCAATAATCTTGCGCGAATGATGGAAATTTCTCGTCAGACCGTGGCGAGCGGGACCTCTCCGCCGAGCGACTCAGTTAATCATTAGCAAAGTCCAATTAGAGAGAGAACGCTGGTGGGAGGGGAAATAAATCAGACAGCATCCCCCACCACCGCCACCCCCCGAAGGGTTCCAACTCAAACTAGAGCAATAAATCTGAATATTAATAACGACAATTTCTCCCTCATTTGTAGCCGAGTCTCCACAGCTGTCAATCGGCATTACGAGGGGGAGAAATGATTAGATTTAAAGGYGGAGCCTGCGGCTTCATGTACGCCTGCTCGGAAACAGAAGTGTTGAGGTCGGCTGCTGTGAAACACCAGCTCGTTGAAAAGAAAAATTAATAATAACGCAACAACTTTTGAGGTTTTGAGTGTGAGAATACAATTTAAAAGGGGGAAAAGAGAGTGCAGAAATAAAGCGTTTCAGGTATTTTGGAAGCTAAAAATAACTCAAAAGATGTGACCCTTTGTGCAGCTATATCACTGTCCAATAACGCATACAACTCTGCTCACACAAGCGCACACATTCAATATATTCTTCCTCGACACAAGAGCCAGATGCACGCTCCCAGCAGTTGCTAYGCGACAGAGCTGAGTCCACTCGGTTTGTCGAGGGTAAAAACAATTTTCTTGAGTAGATTTTAAGTTGTTTTTCTTTTTGTGGCTGTTGTGTTCTTCGTGGAAGCCGCAGCGTACCGTGCGGTTATCCGGCGATCTCTCAAGTGGCGTTCAAGGAAGCTGAAGTAGATGCAAATGTTTGCCAGGGAGATTGGCAATGTTTTACTTTTCTTTCTTTTTATTTTTTTGTTGCTATAAATCTGCCTTTTAAGATTTGTGTGTATAAGATAGCAGCTGTGTAAACACTCCTAACTCATTCAGCTATTATTAGCCATCCATCTCTTTGCATTTCTCATCTCCATTCCTCGTTTTGCTTTTTTTCGTTTTCAGCTGTGACCCCGCTTTCTCCCCTCATCCATCCTTCCATCCACCCATCCATCCCACTGAGTGAAAGCTTCATTCCATCCACCCATTCCAACATCAGCCATCTATCTCATTTTCTGCTTCCCCCCTCCCCTCTCTGACGCTCCGCTCGTCTATAAATTCGATCAAACCTTCGCCCGGTCGCCCGTGCACCCATCCATCCAGCTGTTCACCTGTCCCCCCCCCACCACAACCCCCTCCGCTTCACACGTCCCACCTTCATACATCATTAGGCAATCCATGTGTCACCGCTTCCCGCTCCTCCGAGCCCCCATTTTTTTGATGCCCGCCCCCCGTCGAGCCGTTCGTACCTCTTGGTAGCGGGCCAGCCCCCCGTTGACGGCGGCGTCGATGACCCCGTTGAGGCACATGGTGAGGGGGTTGATGTTCTGCATCTGCCGGCTCTGGCACTGGGTGATCAATGTGCGCAATTGCAGGTTCTTGTTTTCGATGACCTCGATGGCGTTCTCCAGCGGGCTCACCTCCACCTGTGGACACGGGGGGGTTGCAGAAACATTTATTTTASACTTTATGGCTTTTTTTGTTTTTACTGCAGGCAGCGGAAGGGAATCTTTCAAGACTAGAAGATGAGGCACGTCAGCTTGAGCTTAGAAAGAAAATATAGTCAAAATCAACTGATGGCGCCTGGGCCATATTAGGGTCATGAGCACACTTTAGCTGGCCGGTAATGTGTCAGATTAATACTTAAACTACACACATTCTGCTACATTTATTAGTCATAGCCTAACTCAGACAAAGTTAGCCACTCAGAGCGCCTCGGTTGTTTTGACGTGACTAGTTAGCTCAGTAGCATACATACAACCAGTGTCCTCTCACATAAGGTGTTTTTGCATTTATTAAACACACAATTTTATCTTGTTTTATTGGCAGCACAATAATGAAACTCATAACAAATGAACAGAAAGTACAGAATATTAAAACGGACCACCCAGCGGTATGATGCGTAACAGTCTTTGTTCCACCGGTGGGCAAAAATGGTGCGGTTTTTCAGTTTTCAGACGCTACTGGGGGCTTTTTTTAAGCCAAGCTGTCTGATGACTTCCTCCCGTGCTTAACTTTAACTTGACACCCTTACAAAAAAAATAATAATTCAAAAAGCTTTTAAGGAATTTCAGGGGCAACTATTAAGGGGTTAACATGAGAGGGCAGGACTAGAGAAGGGTAAGCTAATGGTAGCTAATGTTAGCTTGTTGTTAGCAGCTCACTACTGTTGTTTTGTTAAAGGCACAGTGTGTAGGATTTTGTCAATTCTTTTAGCCGAAATTGAGATAATCACTAATGACAATAATAAAAAACATGTCTAATCATTGCAGACAAAGACCTTGTTTTATTATTTTTACCTTATAAAAAGCTKTTTATWTCTCCATGGTCGCGGGTCGCCTCACAGGCAGCCGCCATCTTGTCTACGAAGGCTCATGAAGGACAAACTGCGGTGGCCGCGTCAAAAACGGTTTTAGTTGTAATACTATAAATGTAATATTTGTTGTCTGTCATTGTAGCTGGGATAATTTTACTTATTAAAGCTCATAATCTTACCACTTGAAACATCACTAGCCCTGAAGCTGCTGGTAGACATCGCGGTTGGAATTATCAAAGGTTTTTGACACCTGAGAGACACCGTAGCAACTCCTTTGTGTTTGGAAGCGGGGGGAGGACCAGGGAGGATGATTCAACCACTCAACCACTAGATGTCGCTGAAAACAACAAATCCTACACACTGTGCCTCTAAACTCGTGTGAAAACTAACTATACAGTCACTGCGAACCGTTCATCTAAAGTTTTTCCCATCTGTGTGACATAACCCTGCTGGTCAGTGAACCAATCAKTGAGCAGCAGGGTCATAATAAATAACGTAATGAGGTCATCCATAAAGGAGAGGAGCTTTAAGGATCTGAAGAACATTTTTAATAATTTAAGCCTAACATCTACATAAAACATTTGTTTTGTTTTAAATGTGTAGCTAAAATAAGACATCTTTAAACGTCACCTTTGAATTTTTGTGTAGGCATCCAAAACGCGACCTTTTGACCTTATGACCCAAAGGTGCCCTCTTCATTTTATTATTGTTGTTTGGAATGCTTCATTTTCCTTGCTGTATTTTATGGCGATTTTAATACAAGTTTGGAATGTTTTAGCTTGGATTGCATTTAAAATGCGTCTATAAATTTCTGTTCCAACATCAAAGACGAGCATGTCATTTGAGGTGATTCAAAAAACTATGAATGTCCTCGATTTTATATAGTTTCAGGTGAAATATTTCTGTTTTGAAAGACAAATAATTGACAAATAATAATAAAAACGTATTAAAATGTATATGAACAATAAAATATAATTGATACAGTGACAGAATATAAAAACCTGCCCCTGTGCCGTTTTAAACTGGATAACGAACATGCAGAAAATGCTCTCTACTGGTCACTCCTGCACATGTTCACTGGCTGCTCTCTCTCTCTCAGCCTCAAACTCACTTCCATCTTTTTTTTTCTGCCTGTCTCAAACAAAGCTTAATCCTTTTGCCAATTTCAYATTTCATATGCTATTGCATAACCATCACAGGGTAATACTGGCTTTACGTTTCACAATTTCACACCAAGCTTAGCAGCTGTGAAGTAAAGAAAATGCACTTACACCTTAACAGAAAGGCCCTGCATTGTTTTGTTTCTTTTGCAGACAGAGGAAAAATAAAATAAATAAAACTCCTTATAGGTCTGACTGAGACCATGCAAAACAAAAAAGGCTTTTAGAGGTTTTATGCAGAATACTGGGTGATTCCAGACCCAAAACACAAAGTAAATGAGGAGCTGCAGCCATTTTTATGTTTTCTAAGGTCGATTGTTTGTGGTGGTCTTAAAGAATTGGATTACCTCAAAAAGTTAATCAGTCGTAGATTTATTTCCATTTATTACTTTCTGAGAGTTTCATTTAAATTTGTCCAATGGTTCATGAGTTATTTTGCTAACAGACCAACAGCGTCGACTCCAACAACTATTGCTTAAGTTTTCAGCAAAAATAATGCATAACGTGAAGTATCAGACTATGCTATGTGAATAACTCTTAGCTACTATCACACCAAATTAAAACAAAAAATCTGTAAAATTCAATGAAACGTAGCTATTTTTATGTTTTATACGGTTGAATAGCTGGGGAGGCCATCTTGAATTGGGTCGGCTTCGAAAGTAAATCAGTCGTAGAGGTACATTCGCTGATTATTTCTTGAAAGTTTCCTTAAAATCCACCCAGGAGGTCATGAGATATTTTGCTAACAGACAAACAGAGTTGTGCGCAGTAAAACTTCAACAGAATCATTCATAAAGCTTGAAACGTAAGAGCTAATAGAGCGCCGCTTTAGTGGTTTTAAAAACGCTCACACTTACCAGCTCTTTCTTCTCCACTTCAAACCAGCGGGAGATGCCTGGGAGACTCTGCACCAGAGTCAGGGTTGTCCTCTCCACCCACAGGCTCTGCATGAACCCAGAACTTCCATCAGCATCAAACAATTGATCTTTTTTTCTTTTCCTGCACACACGCACCCTGCTTCTGTCAGACTGYGCATAACTTCATTACTGTCGTGTAGTTTAAGGAGTAAAAACATGGTTTGAGCACAAATACTGCCAAACAGCCGCTTTTGGGTGCAGGTCAGGTGTCGTGCCTTATCTCTTCAACCATCATTCATGTTGCAGCACTTTCCGCAGTCGGCCAGAATGCTTGTCAGCGTGCCAACATCGCACAAGGTCACTCTGACAGGACGTAAACTAGGGAAACTCTCGTATTTACTGGAGGCTATTAACATAACAGATTCACCGGATAGTGGAGCGTCTTTAATTTAATTTAGACTATGTTGTAAACATGTCAGGAAACATGAGGGATGGAAAGCTGTTCGACAAATTTTATCTGTACGGTAAGTTTGCTGTTTCCAGAAAGTCACTCCAACTCATTTATAT